TTTCGTATTTTGATGACCTTGACAGGTATTTTGGGTGCCAAACTGCCTGTTGCATGCATACGGTACGCATTTAACAGGCAGTTTCGCATGATTTTTATATTTTCCTAAAATAATTCATCTTTAAAAAAAGGAATTTTTAACAACAAAAGACTTTATATTACGCGTGAGAGTATTCTGAGCAAGCTAAGTGTAAGTGTTATGCAGTCTATGTTTTGTTATTAAAAAAAAAGAATATTTCTACATTATGAATTGTGTCTGGACATGTTAAGTGGGTGCTGATGTCCTAACAGACCTACTCAGTCGGAAATTGACATCTTTAGCAAACAGAAGTGGTTTGGGAAGTAAAAACAAAATTAAGTTTCACCACTTTCGCATTTTGCTTAAGTTGCCAGGGATTTACGTATTTATTGGACAAACTAATTAGAGGTTTTTAATGGTGTAATGGTCCAATTCAAACGAAAACAAAAAATTTCAGCAAAAGTGATATACTTAGAAATTAAAAACGTCATTTATTGTCATAATTTTCGCATTTTGCTGACCATGATATTTTGATAGATTTTAACGTGTGTGTCAAACTGTTGCCGCTTGCGTACCATACGCATAATGCAGTACTTACTTAATTTTTTCGAAAACAAGCAACTTCTGCAGTAAGTAATGTATTTGAACGTAATAATCTGTTTATTAATGTTTCAATAGCCTAATACAAACTGTAATTTACATCTTAAACAAACAGGAGATACTAGGGAAGTAAGGGTAAAATTAATTGTAATAATTTTCGTATTTTGATGACCTTGACAGGTATCTTGGGTGCCAAACTGCCTGTTGCATGCATACGGTACGCATTTAACAGGCAGTTTCGCATGATTTTTATTTTTTCCTAAAATATTTCATCGTTAAAAAAAGGAATTTTTAACAACAAAAGACTTTATATTACGCGGAAGAATATTCTGAGCAAGCTAACTGTCAGTATTATGCTGTATATGTTTTGTTATTAAAAAAAAAGAATATTTCTACATTATGAATTGTGTCTGGACATGTTAAGTGGGTGCTGATGTCCTAACAAACCCACTCAGTCGGAAATTGACATCTTTAGCAAACAGAAGTCATTAGGGAAGTAAAAACAAAATTAAGTTTCATTACTTTCGCATTTTGCTTAAGTTGCCAGGGATTTACGTATTTATTGGACAAACTAATTAGAGGTTTTTAATGGTGTAAAAGTCCAATTCAAGCGAAAACTTAAAATTTCAGCAAAAGTGATATACTTAGAAATTAAAAACGTCATTAATTGTCATAATTTTCTCATTTTGCTGACTATGACATTTTGATAAATTTTAGCGTGTGTGTCAAAGTGTTGCTGCTTGCGTACAGTACGCATAATGCAGTACTTACTGAATTTTTTCGAAAACAAGCAACTTCTGCAGTAAGTAATGTATTTGAACGTAATAATCGGTTTATTAATGTTTCAATAGCCTAATACAAACTGTAATTTACATCTTAAACAAACAGGAGATACTAGGGAAGTAAGGGTGTAATTAATTGGAATAATTTTCGTATTTTGATGACCTTGAGAGGTATCTTTGGTGCCAAACTGCCTGTTGCATGCATACGGTACGTATTTAACATGCAGTTTCGCATGTTTTTTTTTCCTATAATATTTCATCATCAAAAAAAGGGATTTTTAACAACAAAAGGCTTCATATTACGCATAAGAATATTCTGAGCAAGTTAAATGTGAGTAGTCTGCAGAATGTGTTTAAAAAAAAAAGAATATTTCCACTTTATGAATTGTGTCTGGACATGTTAAGTGGGTGCTGATGTCCTAACAGACCCACTCAGTCGGAAATTGACATCTTTAGCAAACAGAAGTGATTAGGGAAGTAAAAACAAAATTAAGTTTCACTACTTTAGCATTTTGCTTAAATTGCCAGGGATTTACGTATTTATTGGACAAACTAATTAGAGGTTTTTAATGGTGTAATGGACTAATTCAAGCGAAAATTTAAAATTTCAGCAAGAGTGGCATACTTGGAAACTAAAAACGTCATTAATTGTCATAATTTTCGCATTTTGCTGACACTGTCAGGTAAATAAGTTTGTGCCAAAATGCCTGTTGCATGCATACGGTATTTAACAGGCAGTTTCGCATGATTTGTATTTTTCCACAAAACTGTAAATCTAAAAAAAGCGGTTTTCTCTACTTTTACGTTTTCTCTACCTTCCGTGACACCTACAGTACGAAGGTGTCCCGTTTCTGTCTGTCTGGCCGTCTGTCTGTACATCTGTCTGCGGTCCCGGATTTTTATGAATTATGATACAGATAATCTACGAGCCACCGATTGTTGTCAAATTTTGTATTTATATTAGGAATATCTTGTAGGTAATATCAATTCCCGCTTGAATTGGGCTATTGGAACATCGAAAACCATTAGCACACCCAGATACAATCTATCCCATAGAAATTCCTAGTTTTTTAAGCAAATACAGTATAATCAGCGTGCTTAGAATATTCTTATGAGTAACATAGAGTGTTTTGTTCTTAAAAATCACTTCCTTTTTGATTTAAAATTTTGGGGGAAAATAAATGTCATGCGAAACTCCCTGTTAAATGCGTACCGAACGCATACAACAGGTAGTTTGGCACACACTTTAGTCCCGGTCACTGTTAGCAAAATGCGAAATAAAGACAACAAATAATGCCTTTACTTCCCTAGTATTTTCTATTTGTTAAAGGTTTCAATTTCCGCTTGACTTGGGCTATTGGAACATCTAAAACCACTTTGAATTTCCAGATACAAACAATTGTGTCGAAATGTTTTATTTTTTAAAAAAGTAATTCTAAGGGTGACGTACTTAGAATATTCTTATACGTAACACAAATCCTTTTGTTTTTTGGATTTACAATTTTGTTGAAACTTACCGCAAACTTTATTAATTATAACATTTTAAATATAAATGCCAAAGTGCCTTTTAAATATAATTAAATTTTGTTTGGCCATCTATCGTCGAGGGGCTGAACTATGCCGTATTTTCCTTATGTGCGAAACTGACTAGTTTATGAGTTTGGTCTACTACAGTGTTGCCATAGTGTGCCGACCGTGCCAAAGTTCCGGGATTACATACATATATATATATATATATATATATATATTTCATTGAAATTCGTTGTCATGTATAGTGAACCAAGACCTATAAGGTTATATGGCCATCATAAAAGTAGTTGACCGCAAATAAATACCCCCTTTGTGTGGTTCGCACTAAGCTTACCGGTTGGCAATAAATCATCTTCTAAACATTTCTTGCTCATATTTAACAGGGCCGGCTTTCAAAGCGAGTGGTTATTTCGGAACCCTCAGCGGCTGCAGGTAGTAAAGAAATAGTGGAGTGGTGGATTTTCATATTTAGTGAAAGCCGCCCCTGAACGAAACCGCAAGAGCCGGTCGAGCTGCAGTGGACACGTTATTTAAGACCCTAAAACCTTTTCTATTGTAAACAACTTAACTTCGACACAATGGGATGATTTTATGATGGCCATATAACCTTATAACTCTTGGTTCACTATACTTACTTATAAATTTTACAATCCCAAGATAATTAATTTTATAATAACCTGTTTGTGTTGTAACCGCTATTGTCACCATCGCCACTGTCCCCATGAATTATTTTCTAAATTTAATTTTTGCCAGAACCTCAATAACATTATTCATCCTTTACAATGTGAAAATTAAAACAACCGACTGGAGCTTGTCTTCATAAATCTCTTATACGATCTTTGTGATCGAGCGGTAAATCACATGACGTATCTTTAAAAATCAAAACCTCTATTATTTTTGGAAACTTTGGTACGCGGTTATCACCAGTGTTTTCGGCTTACAAAATTCTAAAATACTTCTATAAACATTGACGGTTTTTTTCGTCGGAAATGAGATACTAAAAACAGCTTCTTCGGCACAAACATGGGCATTGTTTAAAGATGTTGGTAAAGTATTAAAAAAAAAACTGTATGAAAGTTAAATAGAGAAAGATGTGGACAGGTTATATTTAAAGTATCGTAACAATAGGTCTGTTAATAATGGAGATATTACATTTCTAAAATTGCATTGAAAACTCCATAAGAGAGCTAAACGTGTTGACTCGCCTTAAACAGAAGCGAAATGGGATAAATAGATAGACCGAATTTTTTTTAAGCCACCTACGACGTAAGAAACGTTTATTGTATTGCCACCGTACAAAGCAATGCCTACAAATAAAAAAAACTCATCCTAATAAAACTTTCGGGTACCTCTTTAGAGTCATAAACTTCTTTTAACAGTTCTAAAAAACTTGTGATTATCACCGATAGAAGTCTGTAGGTAATGCGGTATTATGTACACTGCGTTAAATGTTGTTACTTGTTAAAATTCGAATTATTTTACAAATTAAAATATTAATGTGTATGTGTACAATAAAAATTTTAATTGTAATTACTAATTACTATTCCGTCAGTAGTTATTTGTGCACACATTATGCATTGCACGTAAAGACGAAGATAAAAGAGATTACATCATCCTGGAACTGATTGTTCTTTGCAAAATTAATCGTGAAGTCAAATGAGTTCCTTTACCGGAGCAGCACAGGAGCTAATCGGGCGTGTTATTACTACCACCGGGTGTGGATGAATTCGCGTTATTTCTGTTTTCTTTCGGCGATCGTTATTGCCACAAATAAACGACAACATCCACAAGCAATGCACGTGAAATAGTCGAGCGACTTAATTCACCGTTTTGAAAGATTATTTGCAAGTACGCTGAAGACAAGCGTCGTTTGATCTCGAAAACATGTATTTATAAAACCTGAACATTTTGCTGAACGAGGCCCGACCATCTTGATTATAAATAGTCGCGTTATCATTTATGACCTGTTACAGAATTTAATGTCAAATCTCATAGTAAACAGTTTGATGATAATGGTATTTGTGACGGCATTCCCAGTTACCGAGTTCTGACTTGCTTTTTTGTTTCTAGCCGTGGCCCCTGCATCGAGTTTTAGTCCAATAAATGGAGGAAACGGCGCAACTTTTACGGGGAACGGAAACAGTAACACCTCCGTGGATTCAATAGAAGAACCTGTTAGGACAGCCAGCACCAGTTCGAGTCATTCGCCCCAGCCTCAACCAGCGTCTTCTACCACAAACACTTCCAGTACCAATAGCAACAGTCAGAGCAAACCTCCTTACTCATATGTAGCACTGATAGCAATGGCTATTCAATCGTCCCATTTAAAACGGGCGACGTTATCAGAAATCTATGCCTACATCACGGCCAAATTTCCCTATTTTGAGCGTAATAAGAAAGGTTGGCAGAACTCAATAAGACATAATCTCAGCCTCAACGAGTGTTTCGTCAAAGTTCCCCGCGAAGGCGGTGGAGAACGGAAGGGCAACTACTGGACTCTGGATCCTCAGTACGAAGACATGTTCGAAAATGGAAACTATCGAAGGCGAAGGCGGATGAAAAGACCATATCGAAGTGCCCAACCGTACCCGAAAGCTTTCTTTGGAGATGCTCTAGGGCAACACGGGTTGCCTTTGGCGCGCAATATTTTCACACCACCCTCGTACCCGCCCCCATATTCGCGTTACGATACTGCTACTTGGCTGGGGCAGTCACAGCTGGCTTCGTATACAAGCTGTAACAGCGCTGGAGGATACTCCCAGCAAGGCTATCCGAGCCCTACACCTTTCAGTCCATGCGGCGTAAGACAAGAAGCTGCCGCAAGATACCCTCCCTATTGGCCTCCCGACAGTGAGTACCCCCCCGGCCCCCACAGTTCGCCCCCTGCTGACCCACAGCTCCTGTTACAGTGGTGACTACAGTGAAAGAGGAGCCTAGCAGCCCTACCTACCCTAAGTGCTTCATTTAAAAAACTACAACCAGTTGCTGATGTACATCGCGGCTTTGGAAGAACACATTTAAGATTTTTTTAATTCAAGAACTTTGCTGTTTTGATAATTTCCAAATTTATTTTTGAAACAACTCCTTAGAAGCACTAATATCGTAGAAATTTATTTTGTTTATTTATATTCCGTCCAATTCAAGCAATTGGATCTTTCTAAGGATCCTTGTTTATATGTATTTATGTAATTTAATTATGTATGTTTAACATAAATGATTTATCTGTGAATTACAATTGTTTTTTTTATTGTTAATTTTCTTTACATTTAACTAATGTACTAGTGAAAAAGTTTTAAATAAAATTTCCCAGTAATGTTGAACATATTTATTGTAATGGAACTAAATTTACTATTAATCAAAGTTTAAATAGACAGTTTGTGCACATTGTAGTACTGCAAGTTTTATCTTAAATGGCCCCAAAGGTACCATGTGATCGAAAAAAAAAACATCAAGAGAGCTATACAGTAAAAAAGCTTGTATTGGCAAAAATAAAATGTATAAAATTAAACGAATTGATCTATCAATAACACGAGGCACAACAGTTAACACATTGTTTAATGAAAAACAGTATAACGCTAAAACAAATGCTGAAAGTGATGTCCCTCAATTTCCGCTCTTCGCTTCTTGTTACTGAAGGCGTTTATTAAATATTGACGCGTGCTTTAGTTACACACATTCTGAATCGCCTCTGGAGTTTATTTAAATATTATATGCGGGCGATTTATAAAAGCACTGTTCTTTAGATAAGGAAAAACAGAATAATCGAAACTCGTCAGATATGGGGACAGTTTCCATCAAAAATTCAGGCAATAATTCCATTGTCTCACGAGTTTTATGGGAATATCTTGCTGAAAATACCCATCCCTTAATTTGTTTTTACATAGCTGCTCAATGTAGTTTCCAACAAATTGTTTCGGCATCTTCAGGGTTAACTGTCAGTGAAAAATATTGGATCTATGTACAATTTGCCTTCTCGAAACTGCAAATCATAAACCGATCTTTGGGGAATGTAAGGATTGTTCAACCAATTGCATAGGGATTTTCACTCGACACAATTTGCATTGTTGGCCAGAAAGATGGATCCACCCTTCGTCAACCAAAAAGGTCTTATCGAGAATGTCATCGTTCACGTGATTTTGAAACCACTGACAGTAATAATAATTAACGCGTATACAGCGTGTTATTGAAAGGTACGTACAAAATAAAATCGGTAGTTGGTCTCGAAGTATGGGTGCTAAAAATAAAAAAAAGTTCAGGTAAAAGTGTTCTCCTTTTAGATATACAAATTATTAAAATTTATGTCCAAATTCATGTGAGAGACCAGTTTGTTGGGAAAGCTTTCGGATGGAAATCTTAGGCGAGTGTTCTGTCTATACACCCTCTCATCTGTTACACTCTCTTCCGTCTTTTTTTTGCATATACCGGGTGACTCAAAAAAAAATCATGAAATCTACTGCGAAAAAAAAACATAATAAACATGCAGTCGTCACGTTTCCGACAGCGAGGGAAGTACTGTCTAAACTCTTTAGACCAATTTTTTGGATTTGCTTGGAGGGTGACTCAAAAAGATTAATGAATGCGTGAATTTATTTTATTGATTTAATCGGGAACTGCTAAACTGAATGCTTTGAAATCTTGGAGATGTTTTAAAGTTATTGTAAATTGTTAATCAAAATATATCTAAATAGATATAGTTTGAGATGACGTCATAAATTTTTTGGAATAAATATTCCAAAAAATTTTGCCGAATACATTCTACCCAAAATGTGCAAAATATGATGAGTTTTTACGTGTGATTTATCATTGCATTAATATTTTTTAGATTTGCTTAAACAGGTGGCCCAAAAAAATTAAGGAATAAGGAGATTTCAAGTTGGATTTGCGAAAATGCAAGCCCCGTTGCTGCGGTTATTTCGATGACAGTTGTTGCGATTCGTGATATGATTCGTCCTCGCGGCTGCTATCATCTTCCATGGGGCAAGGAGGACTTGGGAAATTGTAAATCCAACTTGAAATTGGCCTGTAAGTTAGTTTATTTTATTGATTAAATCAGAAACGGCTAACTCCATTTTTCCAATAAATTTTGGCAATACGAGATTGTTATTTTTAGTATTACACTGCACCAATCCAAGTTGATATACATGTCCTTGCAAAAATGTTGATGATGTCATTACATTGTGTAAAGAAAAAACTCAACTCGAAAATTCTGAATATGTTTCAGTGTACTTTAGGTGTGAGGGAAGTTCTGTCGAAACAACTTTCCACCAAATTTTCGGTGTATAAACATAAATAATCGCAGTTAAGCAGTGTACACCGCACACTACACTTTTTCCAGTTAGTTATCTGCTTTAAATATATTTCATATTATGTGTGGACCGTGCCGCCGAACAAATTAATACCCATTTGAATGTTCGAATCATTTATCCTGTGTAACACAGAGTGACGAATTTTTACTTCCCAATGTGCAGGCGAAGGAAATATTGTAATAGGATCATGTGTGCTCGACGCTTCAAGACTTGAAGAGCACGAAAAAAGTGGTCTTCCATTTCCATCGGTGTGTCGTCTTTGTCGATTTTTATTAGACAGATAATCTTCGAAATTACTGGACCGATTGTTGTGTGTTAGGAATATCGTGTAGACGATAAAACGCTAACCAAAATTTGTGTAACCATCCCCACCAAAATAAGATGACGTCATTGCCAAAATTTACAGTAGTAAATGATATTATAAATTTTATAATCTTCTTTACATATAAAAGGCAATGTCCCGACTGACCTATCAACGCCCAGCCCAAACCGCTAATGCTAGAAAGTTGAAATTTGGAGAGAATGTTCATTTTATACTGGAGGCATCGTTTAAGAAGGGATTTCTCGAAATTCATCCCCTAAGGGAGTTAAAAAGGGGTGATAAAATTTGTATAGGACCAGTATGTCTACTGTAAATTTACATCGTTACGTGAAACCTGGTACATTTTAATTCTCTTCAATACAAATAAGGAAATACATATTTAAGCATTTTCGGAGATTCGACCCCGAAGGGAGTGAAAAATGGTGTCAAAGTTTGGGCGGGTAAGTTTGTATAGGAACAATATTTCTACTATAAATTGAAATTTTTACGGGAAACTTAGTATTAATGTTCTTCAACACAAATAATGAAACCCGTCTTTAAGCATTTTCTAAAATTTAACCCCAAAGGGGGTGAAATGTGGAGTCTAAGTTTGTATGGGAAAATATTTTTATGCTGATGTTTACTTACTAATGGTCTTCAGCACAAATAATAAAACACGTATTTAACCATTTTTACAGATTCAACCCCTATGGGGGTGAAATATGGAAATATGGTGGCTAGGCTTGTGTGGGAATATGTATTTCTGTTGTAAATTTAAATTTTTACGTGAAACTTGATATTAAATTAATGCTCTTCAATACAAAGAATGACACCCGTATTTAAGCATTTTCCAAGATTCAACCCTCAAAGGAGTGAAAAGTGGTGACGAAGTTTGTATGGGAAAATATTTCTACTGTAAATTTTTACGTGGAACTTGGATTTGGATTAATACTTTTCAACACAAATAATGAAATACGTATTTCAGATTTTTTTCGAGATTCCACCCCTAACAAGATGAAAGGGGGTGACAAAGTGTGTATGAAGAAAAATATTTTTAGGTCGAGTTTTACTGGAAACTTTGTATTAATGTCCTTCAACACATTTTTTTACTTGAAGCTTGGTAATAATGCTCTTTAACACAACGAATCGTCTACGCGAGCGAAGCCGCTAGCGAAAAGCTAGTACAACATATTCCTGTACTTATGATTTATGAATCCGTGTAAAGTTTTTATCCGAAAAATCCTGATTTTTGAAAAAAAATCACAATTGAGTAACTCAATTCAACTATTTATGAGACTGAAAACCAAATACTCTAAAATCTTGCAAACGTTTTAAGGTTATGTAAGGCATGATAAATCGTTGATCAAAATTTATCCGTTTATAATTCTATTTCAAAGGAAGATAAATCATTGATAATATTTAGCGTTATGCTTTATTGTACATGTACATTATTATTATTGACCAGCAGAACATGGTTCACAAATACAAAACTAATAATAACTAGTACAACTATAGTCCCTAGAAAACACATTATTTCTAGAGGCTATAATTACAACTTTTAGGGTGTGCTACATAACTCACGCAACTCAGATTTCTTACATAGCCATAATTTAAAATAAACAACTATATAGTAACAGTAACAATAAAGTAAAATAATATGAAACTATGCAACACCAATAGATACATCGTTGGACTTATTTTATAGTCTAAATTTCCATTAATTAATCTATTTGGGTGCAAGCTGTTATAATAATTAAATTTCTAAAAAACCGTAACCTATATTAAACACGTTCAACAATTTCGAGAGAGAGAGAGAGAACAATTTTTGTTTGGTCACCTATACATATTTTTTCCCAATCCTTCTCGTAAGTAGCTTTTGCCAAGTCACATTTGATGAAGGTAAGTTCAAATTACTAATTATGTTCTGGTTGCCTAGCAAATAGTGTCACTTACCTCCCTAGGCCTACTTACCTCGCTAGGGAAGTAAGTGAAATGACAGGACTCAAGACAACAACACCGTTTAATTTTACGATTTTTTTTAACAGAAATTAACAAAAGTGTTTTTGAATTATCTTTAATAACATTAACTACTTGTGGAGGTAGATTGTAAAGGTGCAGTTTGAACATTGGTTTAACTTCACTAACGGAGTGTTTGGTTTGGTCACTCTGATGGTTGTCTTCTATATCTGTGACTTTTTCAGGCGTACTCGGAATTGAAGTTTTAGAGCAGCAGAACTGGTTGTCGGTTGATTGTTGCTGTAAAATATCTTATTTGTTGTTTCTATTTTGTTTCTCACTGATTCTGCCACATAACCCTCCGTGACTGTAGCAGATTTCCAACGTCCCAACCGTTTTAGGTCTAAAATAATCACCCCAGCATCTGACAATAACATTGCGGATGTACGACGAAATGAATGTCCCGTGTATGCTTCAGGATTTGGAAGATTTAAAAATTTTGACACAGTTGATGGGATGCGACTAAGTGTTTTTTCTACCGGTTGTTTCACACACCGACCCTTCTGGTACCTTAAGAAAACTCTCTTTAAATCTGTGCTACATTTGTTTTTAACTGTCAAATATTTTCCACATAATCCAAGAAAACTAATAC